TTGGAATTGATACATTTACTCTTGCTGAAGTCGACACAAGAAAGATCAACACCAACTGCTGACAAATTCTTGTCAAATTATTCAAAAAGAACAAATACAGAATAAAAGGGGGAGGAGTCCAAACCGCTCTCAGACCACATAGTTAACTCGTACCTCGAGGCCAAGTGCCCAATCACAGCCTAGCTAACGACAACTCTGTCAATGTAGAAGGGAAAACAAAACAAAACAAAAGACCCAGCATTTGACTGCTGAATGAGCTCCAGGTTGACCCATACTGTGTCAATGCGTTGCTAAAGCAAGCACGCTTACCATCAGCTCAGGTCATACAGCATAAAAGTGGGCAGAGGCCAAATCAGAAATTTCTGTTTCCGTATCTTCCTTTTGCATCCCTGTATTCCCTCTCCAATAAGATATTTAAATACCCTCACAGGATAATATTTATGTTGTGTTTCCTGGTCTAAAATGCTCTGCTTTTAATTTGTCAAATTGTAATTTTTTATCGATGTAGTTAGATGACAGGTACTGAATCATTTGTTAGACGGTTTCATTTTCTGTCTAAGGTTTAGTGGGGCATGATCACTGATGATTAATTTGTTTTTGTTTTTTTACATTTCATAATCAATCAAAAAACCAATCATTAAAATGTTTTTATTCATGTAGATTTTAATGTTTGTGTAGTGTTGGAGCCCATCTGTCTGTTACCACTTTTGACAAATAGAAAAGTTTGTGAGTGAAGAAGAAAAATTGTAAAAGACTAGATAAATAAATGCAATAGACATAATTATTATCATTAAACCATTGTTAATATTGACTACAGACAGATGTGTGTATACACGTGTGGTGAATGATGTTTGTGTAATCATACCATTTGTGATAACAGAAACAGAAGAAAAAACAGATAATAAATATGGCATAAAAATGAACAGAAGACCAAAACCCAAATAATTAAACAAAAAGGGACACTATAGCGCTTTAGATCTCAAGCCATTTCAGTCTATGTTAGTTTAGAAGCCGGAGAAAACTGCTAAGGAGTGGGGAGATACAGCAAATGATTGGTAAAATACTCTGTGAGTGAAAAGGAAGGGATTCAGATTTGGTTTGGGGAACTAGAAAAGCAATTGGGTCACATTTTTGTTACAGTAGAGTTTTCATCAAATATATCTTTTCTGTGATTTATATAGCTTCTTTGATGTATTGTTTTCAGTTTTTTTCCTTCAATTACTTCGCATGGAAAGTGGTCATTGAGTCCACTGTCTATCCCTTTAAGCTGTCTGCCTTGGCATATTGTATATGTTCATTACGTTTATAATGTCCAAACTTGGTGACATTCAGTGTAGGATGTTATGTTACTTTTTTTAATTTTTTTTTTATTTCCAGTTTACACAGTGAGATGTGAT